GCCAATATTCCTGTAAGGTTTCTTTCCTCTCTCAAAGCGCTGTGGTGGGCGGGGACTGTGAAGAGCAGAGGCTTATTCATGGTTATGAAATCTTTACTCTGAACGACACTACTCGGGCAAGCTGATCTGTATGCAAACATACAGATTGTCTTGTTATTGCCATTTGTACGCATTTAAATTGCATCTGGTGATATTTTCAAATCAGGCAAAGATTCATTTTACAGGACAGCGCTCACCTACATAGCTACATAATAACCTCTATTTCTGGTTTTTGTGTGAAGTAGTTTGTGTGTTTGGGATCAGCTTCAACCTCAGTAAGTATGTGCTGACAATGGCACTGTGACAGTCAGCAGCCACAGCTTATAAAGATCATTACAAATAATGCAACACTAAACAGTGGCCTCGACGACCACACCGCAGCACTACATCTGTGTAATTATAACTGATGAATGATGCTTTGTTAAGATATTATAGTTTCATAGTTACTGGCAACACTGTTGGGAATTTACACAAAGTTAACACTTTTTAAACTCCCACACAGAAACAATAAACATCACCAGAACTCAGACGGGAGCCAGCATACAGCAGTTACATCACTGCATACAGTAGTGATGTCATGAAATACCATGTGGACATGTTAACTGAAATAACCATTGTGATCACAGTTAGTCAGAGTTACGCTTTAATCATTATGTAAAGGGAGTGTTGCCAAAGTGCTGCTCATAGGGGTCATGTGATTGTTGGGTTTTTCTCTGTAGCGTCTACCTTACAATATAAAGCACCTTGAGGCGACTGTTGCTGTGATTTGGGGCTCTATGAATGAAACATTCATTGAAGTCCAGCTTACTCTTCAGGCTTGATTCCCAGCCGTTCTCCCCGATCCATGTTGAGTGTTCCTGCTCCCTGTCCATAGCCATAGCCTTTAGGACCGTATTTTTTCCCGTAGCACGATTTGCAGTAGATCTCCTGGTCATGACTGGCCAGAGTGGTGCTGTCCAAACCCTTCCTGCAGACCACTGTGGACACACACAGCAGCAGTTATGTGAGAGGAAAGGTCTTCTAAAATTCTTTTCACTTGGTTACCTTTACATGTATTTACTGCCTAAATGTAGCACATGACATGTCTGAAATACTATAAAGATTCTGAGTACTAGAGGAAATTCTAATATTTATTATTAGACTCCTTTCGAGTAGCACAGATCCATCCATATTCAATCTTTTACTGGGTTTTAGTGCAGCCCCTCAGTTCCTCCTCCTTGTTTCTTTCCCTTTACAGTCGTTCTTCCCTTAAAGTCGGTGTTCTAAAAACTGCGTCTGTAACGTTGGACCCAAGAAACATACGCTGGAGCGAATATGTTGACAGCAGAACTTTTATTTAATACTGTGGTTTCTTGACTGGGACACAGACACTCCCGCTCTCCCTCCGACTGTCACTGCCAACATATAAAGAGACACAATCACTGTCAGATCCCAGCACACCTGTTCACCCCGCCCTGCGCCGCCCCGGGAGCTCACTGCGTCCCCCCTCCTCTGCAGCTGGCCAGAGACCACACCCACGCCACAGCGTCCCTCTCACAAGCAGCACACAAAGAGCAGGTGAGCTGTGTGTCTGTGGTCACCTATTATGCGAACTTCTAACTCTGTGTTCTTTGGGATTTCCTAAATTAGCCATGCAGGGCTCAAAATTCTCCACCCAGTGTCTGAAACATGGCCCTCCAGCTCCCCTCGTAACTAACTTAATGACATAATGTACCTGGAAAGGTAATTTACAGTGTCAGCTGACAGCAGTCCACTTTCTGTCAACAATAACTTTGTTATTTGATTGTTTGTAGTTTCTGTTTTATCCTCCCGTGTAACTTTAATGACCAGTTTTGACGCCTCAGTATACATCGATAAAGACGCGGCTTGACAAACAGAATATCTCTGCCACTGAAAACGCTACGTCCAGATGAACAACATGACAGAAACAAGGGTTACTCCTAGTAGGTGTCCAAGGGGGGAAAGTAAAATATCTGATAGCCACAAAGGTCTGAAGAGCCAGTTCAAGAATGTGAAAACTAGTTGGTCAGCTGCTAAGAATGAGAGGTTCAAAGACCTCTGGCATTTAAAGTTCACATCTACAATAATCAACAAAACAAGAACAGATTCTTCAAATTCCAGTGTTTTCTCTTATAACTTTAACACCACTTTGATTGCAACTGCGGGTATTTAAATAACATAAAGTAAGAGGTTAAAGAAAATCAATTCCAGCTTGAGTCTGGCTGTATACCAAAGGTGTTGGAAAAATTGACAGCATCTTGGCAGGTTTGTCTTAGCAGAGAAAGCAGCGTCTGTAAAAACAAAGGCTCCACGGGCGCTTTAGGCTGCACGCTTGTGCCCACGCTGGCTGCTGGGATTAGCTGAATTCTTTACACAATGGCCTTCGCTACGAGACTGTCTGAATCTGGTTTCAGGTTTCACACAACTGGCAGGAAAAATGTCTCCATTCACGTCTGCACGTCTCCCAGCCAACACTGTCAAAACAAGACTTGCATGTCCCGTTGAATGGCACCTAAATCCTGACTTGCCCTCCTCAGTTTGTGATGCACTTTTAGGATTTTTGACGGCACTTCCTCTTTGCTTCAACTACATGTACACTAGTATTCCCCATGTGTTGCCACAGGCACTGACTGTGAATAAATAGGTGAGACAAAGACACAGATAGTGTACACAGAGTCATATGAGGCTGTGTGACTTTCTTATAAATCAGTGAATGTCAGAAAACAGAGAATTTGGACAAAAAAGGAACAGCGAGTGGCCTTGCTCATCACCTCCTGGGTCAGACAAAGCTGTCTTTGTAATAGAGCTGCTCAAAAAGAAGAAACCCGCCTTTTGTGGCTCACACTGTTTTGCTCTTTTCTTGACAGCAGCTCTATGGAGAAACATCCTGATGTCTTCGCGAGGTCTTCACTGGAACATTTTCACTGACATTTTGAGGCTGGTTTGGGGTGAGGATTAGTGAGCGAAATGTCAGAGCAAGCTTTCTTAGGTGACCCGAGGAGGCGAAACAGAGTTCGAGCGCCGTCCTGCTTCGGCGGGGTCTGCGCTGATGACAGGAACGTTGCTCAATCTTATTCCAGATAAAGTTGTATTTGCATTTTGATGCTACATGTACTTACTGCAGAGAAAACAGCATTTATGGAAGCTCTTGCCATCACACTGCACTTCCTCCGCGTGGTAAACCGTCCCGTGGCATGCTGCGCACTTGTTGCCTCCGCCCCAGTTTGGCATGGTGTTTCTGACAAGAGACACAGAGATGATGAGAAAGGTTAAACATCTCGTCTGTTCCTCCTCTGAACTTCCAAACACGAGTGAGTAAAAAAAGGACAGCTGTGTTTTCTGTCATATTAAAGCACTGCAGGATTTATATCACAATAGCAATGATTTAACTGAAAATTACAGCCACAGGCCACAACATCTATCCCGACTGCATAAACAAAGTCAGCCCTGACAAAAGGGCAGACTAATACCCAGAGGAATGCTTGCGGGCGCCATGCCTCAGAGCTTTTGTTTCTTGATGAGC